GCAGGGCCAAATCCTCCCCTAGAGGGCACAGCCCCAAGGCAGGTGGGCACAGGACACACACTCTGGGCCCCATCTGGGTTGCCAGGCCCCACAAGGTCTCAAGTGAGCTCCAGCACACACACAGAAAGCGGGGACACCGGAAATGCATAGGCACCGCCTTGCTCCGCGCCATGAGCCGTGCAGCTAATCTCAGAGCAGTGGTTCCTTGTGGCCGACTTGAGGGCTGGAAGCCAAGGAGGCTCAGCCAGGGCCGCACTCCCATTGTCTGAGGCGACACTGTCCAGAGAAAGCCCCACATCCCCACACCAGTGCGTTCTCGTGGCTCCCGGCCTGGTAGGGCCAGGGCCTAGCGCCACGGAAGCATCTCCAGCCTGTCCCCGCCTCGCCTCCACCTTGCCGGAGCCTCCCTCCCAGCCCTGCGGCCCATTTGGTCCTCCGGCAACCGCCGGCTCGACTCATGCATGCTCCAGCGGTGTGACCTCACTGCGTCTTGCATCCTTCCCGAGGGCGCGGCGGACGGAGAGGAAGCACTCCCCAGCCCCCCAAGAACAGAGCCTCGTGAAGGGAGCCTAGAGCCCAGGGCTGAAAGGCAGGGCTACTGCTTCGGTCCTGGCTCTGCCCTTGACTACGATGTAACCCTGGGCCCATTCCTTCCCTTCTTGGGTCCTGGGTTCACTTTTGTAAAATGCGCCAGCGAGGAACACTGAGAGGGTTTCACCTGACAGCCCCAGGGCCGCATGTTCAACAGGGACCTCCTCCTGCCAGGCACGTTATTCCAAATAATAAACGCCAGGCCGTGCTCCCGGAGGCGCGGACAGAAGATCTGGGAGGCAGGCGGGTGAGGACCACTGGGAGTTGAGACAGGTCTGGGCGACATCCGTCCATCTTCCTACCCTTACTCCGCGGTGGCCGCAGGACCCGGCCTGTGGGGCGCAATGCCTCCTTCCCCACCCGCATTCAGGCGACCGAGCTAAGGGGCCGCGCGAGGCTAAACCAAACCGAGTCGAGGGCGCTGGCGCGCCCCGCGGAGCTGACGAGATGCGGAGCCCTCCCCTTCCCCCAGACCAAGCCGGCGGGGGCTCCGCTGCGGCGGGCGGGGCTGGCGCGNCTCCGTCGGGTGCCTGGCCCGGCCCTCCTGGGCTGAGGGCGCTCGGAATCGCTGAGCGCCCGCCCATCTCGACCCCAAGGCAGGCCCAGATCTCCACCGCTTTCTCCTTCCT